ACATTTATATGATTTTCGCAAATTTTTTTTTTTTTTTTTACGATTTTTCAATGGAAAAACAAAAAAAAATAACAAAATAAATTAAAATCAAAAGAAGAAGAGAAAAAAAAATGAAAAAAAAATAGAAGGAAAAGAAGAAGAAGAAGAAGAAGAATGAAAAGTATAATTTTTTTTTTAAAGATGAGAAGGAGGAGGAGGAGGAGGAGGTGGTGGTGGTGGAGGTGGAGGAGGAGGAATGGTTGGAAAAGTTTGAATGTTGTTTGAGAAATTATTTTTTTTTTTTTAAAGAAAAAAAAAAAAAATTTCTAAAAATTTTTGTGATTTTTTTGACCGAAATGGCCAAATGATGTGTTTCAATAATAAATTCTCATCTTTTTCTTTTTTTTTTTTTTCTTCTTTTCTTTCTTCTTCTTCTTCTTCTTTAACGTTAAAAGAAAGCAAACAAACAAACAAACAAACAAAATTTTGTCTTGGCATAATATGGATAGAGAACATTTCCAAAAGTTATGGAAAAAAAATGGAAAGAAACGATTGCATATCTCTCCGGGTCAGATTAATTTTTTTTTTTTTTACGTACGTTGAGAAAGGTAACGTGCGTGAGTGCGTGAGTGCGCGTGCCTTGCATGAATGAATGCATTAAAAAAAAAATGGAAAACGTGAGCGTGTAAAATTTCATTAATTATAACGGTTTCATCATAAAACGAACGAACGGTTGATGATGAACGAACGGATGAACGGATGGCAACGTACGAACGCATAGCTATTTAAGTGCAATACTTTATTTTAAACTGGGATAGGAATGATGACGTAGATGATGACGTAGATGATGTGGCGGTGGCGGTGGTGGTGGGAGAAACTAGAACGGAAATGAGAAAGAGAAAAAAAAGTCGCGCGGGTACCGGAAATGAAAAAATTTTTTTGTACTTTGTCTTTATTTTTCTTTTCGCCTTGTTTTGTTCGATGATGATGATGATGATATTTTGAAATAAAATTTTTTTAAAAATTTGTTTGTGGTTGTTGTTGTTGTTTACATTTCCATGATTTTTTTTTTTTCCCCCCCGGAAAAATTGTAAATTGTTAAAGGAAATATTTTTCCGATAGGATTTTGCAAATTATTCTCCATTGAGTTTGTGTTTGTTAACGTTATGTGATACATAGAAACAAACAAAAATAAATTGATAAATTATTATTATTATTATCGAATGGCAATTTTATTGAGCAGTAATCATTATTATTATTACTGATAATTTTTTTTTCTTTTTTTTTTTTACATATCAATATAAAAATTTAAAAAAAAAAACAAACGTTATTTTTTGTTTCGTTCGAACGTATTTTTTCACACTCGTTCGTACCTGATTACGAATAATAATGATGATGATGATGACGATGACGATGACGACGACGCCATTTTAAAATCAATTCAATAAAACAAACGTTTGTCGAGTGCATTATTTATTTTGTTTGATTCCCCTTTTTTAAATTGTTTAAGTACAATTTTTATTTTTAATAAAAAAAAAAAAATGAGTGTTTGTCTGTGTTTGTCTGCTTACACGTAAAAAAAAAAATTTTTTTGGAAAAAAATACGTTCTCCTTTTGTTTGTCTTGTCTGTTTGTTTTAAAACCGTTGCATTCATTTCGGTTGTATCATGACGCTTTCTCGTTTGTCCTCGTACGGTAAGTTAACGTGAATTCCCATATTTGGCCTTTCTTCTTGCTGTTGTTGTTGTTGCTGTAGTATTTGAGGATGATGTTGTTGTTGCAACGGTTGCGGTTGTTGATTTTTATCATTGTGATATTCCAACTGATCTACGTCATCATCTGAAAAAATATTAAAAAACTTATCCGACCTAACAAACAAAGGTTCGAATGATGATAATAATAATAATGATTAAATTTCTCTCACCGTCTTCTCCTTCTTCTTTTCTTCCCTCGTAATCGGCTTGATAAAGATAAACGGGATTTTTAGGGATTTCATTTCCGACAGGTTGTTGTTGTTGTTGTTGCTGCTGCTGTTGTTGTTGTCGTGGGAAAAGCGGATGATTTTGTATTATTAAATTTCCACCGTGTAATTGTTTGTTGTTGTTTTGCATTTCGTTTCTCCCTATTTCCCCTTCGTCACCGATTTCTCCACCGTTGTTTCTATCCACCATACCTTGTTTGAATTTTTCTTTGTATTCTTGTATGGCGGGAACGTGACCGAAATCTTTCATTATATCTAAAATAAATCAAATCAAAAGATAAAACAATCGATTGTTTCATTATTATTACAAATACATTCGAGTGTGTTTGTCGTTTGTTTGTCGTTGCATACCCGGTGCACGTAAAACTCCCTGTGCCGGAGGTTCGTCATTTTGTTTTTCATGTTGTTGTTGTTGTTGTTGTTGTTGCAATTGCTCATCGTTTTCTTTCATCATGTCATCCGGTTTGGCACCCACATTTTCTTTATTATCGTAAACAATCAAATTGGGTAGAGGTTCTTGTTTCGGTTGTGCCATCGGTGCAGCACTTAAAATTTTATCTTGACTATTGACGGCATCAGGATTGATCATTGGAGTGGACGTGTTCAAATAAATGTTGTTACCCGATGGGAAAAGTTCTTGTTCGACTTTTTTAGCCGATGTGGACGATTTAAAAGACGGTTGAGAATAAATTTTACCATCCATTAGAGGTTGCGGTAAATTTTCGCTTCTGTCGGCTTTAGAAACTCTATAAACAAACAAACAAACAGGTATGAGGAGTGTATAAATCACGTGACATGATAGAAACTTTTCGGTTAACAAAAGAACAAAACTCACGTCGAATTGTTGAGTATTAATGGTAGTTTATCCGGTAATTTAATTTGAGATCTTAATTCGTCCATTAATTGTTTTTTACTTTCTCTTAAATGAATTATTTCTTGTTCTAAAATATCATATTTATTCTGAAATTAATATTTTTAAAAAAAAAAAAAAAATTATTTTCCCTCTCTCTTAAACAAATTAATTTTAAATATTATTGGTTAGTAACATGCATACATAAAAACATAAAATTAATTACTAGTAGTACCTTTAAATGTTCTAAATCGTTTGTTTTGCTTTCTTTAACAAGTTTTAACTCATCTTTTAATTTTTCTACAAGTCCTTCTAACCTACTTTTTTCTTCTATTTCTGTTAATTGTGATTGTTTTAATTTATCACATTCGAGATTAACATCATCGTGTTGACTCTAAAAATCAATTCGACAACAAAAACAACAATTAAAAGCACAAATAATTATTTATTTAACATTTAATTAATGTTCCGCAAAAACACTTAACAAAAAATAATAAGTAGGGGGGGGTTACAATTAAAACAAACAAACGTGTAAATGCCCTTTTTCCCCCACTCACTCACCCCCACCCTGTTTTACATTAAAAAAATTTTTACCTGCAATAATTTATATTGTTGTTGCAAAGCTGTGAATTTATTAACCGCTTCGACATTTTCTTTTTCCCTCCCCAATTTTTCCTCTTCTAATTTCGTTTGCAAATCTTCTTTTAATTGAGCTAAATCACTTTTTTCCTGTTGAAGTGATTTTTCCAATCTTAATTTATATTCAAGATTAACTGGGAACACACAAAAAAATTTTTAAATGTTAAATTAAAAGCCTTGTCGAAAGGGTGGCGGAAACTTCTCGAGTCTCAAAATCAAAACCTTGTAATTGTGCAGAAAGAGATTCTTCGTTCAAGTGACATCTTTCATATAATTTCCCCATTTCTTCAAGTCTCTGAGATGCATTCTGATAAAGTAATGTGAAAAAAACAACACTGCATACACCAGCTATGTATATTAATATTTTATTTTTACTACCACGAACGGACATTTTATTTCCTTCACGGACTATATATATCACATTATGTATTAAATCTGAAGAAAAAAAAATTTCATTTATTATTATTATCATCACGTCAACCTATTAATAATTAATTATTTATAATGTAATCGTTAACGACAAACTAACAAAAAGAAATTCTAATAAATTTAAAAGCATTTTAAAGTAAAATAAATAACTTTTACATAATAAAAAACTTTAGGTTAATGGTAATTAACCATGCTATGAAAAAATGTTATGTATATTTAAAACATAAAACGCAAATAATTTTGTAACCTTAATAATTATTAAACTAACATAAATAAATTAATAAATTTAACTTTTCTATACGTATGCATAAGTGATTAAGTTCAATATTGTAAAAAAAAAAAAAATGTTAAAATGCAACGTACAAGATAAAAGTGTTGTTATTTTACACTTACGATACAAATTCTCAAGAAAATATATAACTTGAGATTAATTAATTAATATCGAATCACTAAAATATGAAATAATAATAATAATTCATTTAAAAAACGTTATTTTAATTATAAAAAAAAAAAATTATATAATAATAATAATAAAAACAAGACAAAAAAAAAAAAAAAATTTTTTTTTTTTTTACTAAATAATCAATCCTTTTCAACAAGTACAATACAATGTGAAGTATATAATACTGTAAAAAAAAAAAAAAAATTCTCTCTTCCTGAACGTGTTTCATCCGACAAAACTCGTTCTTGATTCTGATTGGTCGAAACGAAACGATATGTAAAACTAGTACGAAATTTACGTTCAAAGATTGAAATTCGAAAAGAAAAAAAAAAAAAAACAAGTGATTTTTAATATTATAACTTATTATTATTAATTAATTATATTAACGAGTCGACCCCGCACACACACACACACACACACACACAGGTTAGTTATGTCAGTTTTATGTCGAAATATTTTATAAATTAATATCATTTTTATATTTTGTCGTTATTAATGAGATAATTTCGTAAATTTTTTGACAATGATGACGTCCGTTGATTCGAATCAAAAAAAGTATTTTTAATTACGATTTTGAGTTTATAAATTTTTGAATTAAGCTAAATAATTCACTTTTTTAAATTATTATTATTTATATGAATAATTTCAAGGATTTCTAGTTTTACCAATATTTAATATGTTGTTTAATAAGAAGGGGGAGAGGAGGGGAAAAAACTGACTGATATTTTAAAATTTTTTAAAAAGTTATTAAAAGTAAGAAAATTATTATTATTAATATTATTATTATTATTTTAATTAATTAATTAATTAGTTATCGTTTGTTAATTATTATAAAATTATTTTTTTAACGAATAAAAAAAAAAAGTTTTGATGAATAATAATTTTAAATAAGTTGGTTGTCAAAATTCAAAATGGCTCCGAAAATTTAAAAAAAAAAAAAAAAAAAAAAAAAATTCCTTTTTTTTGTTGTTGTATGGAATCGTTAACGGTTTTGAAATTTTTTTTTTTAATTAAATAATTTGCGATTTTGTTAATTTAATATCGATTTTTAAGCATTTTTAAATGAAAAAAGAGAGAGAAAAAAAAGTTGAAAGCAAGGTTTTTTACCTGAATTGCAAGATAATTAATTTTACCTTGTTTATTTTATTTTTACTTTTTCACATTCGTTAACGAATATTTTTAATAAAAAACGTTTTATTGGCATAACATAAACAAGTATATGTTATTAAAATTAACAAAAACAAACAACCAACAACAAACAAACAACGAACAAACATAATATAGGGAAAAAATATTTAAAAGTATAATTATAACTCAAAACCGTTACTAATTTATTATTAAAAAAACAAAAATTGAATTTGTAACAACAAAAACAACAACAGCAACAACAACAACAACAGTAACAACAGCAACAGTAACAACAACAACAGTAACAGCAACAGTAACAACAACTACAACTACAATAACAGCAACAGTAACAACAACTACAACAACAGTAACAACAACAACAGTAACAGCAACAGTAGCAGCAACAACAACAACAACAGCTACAACAACAATAAAGTTTTAACACAATAAACAATTTATTTTAAATTTTAATTAAATTGTCCTTCATATTAAATTTAAAAAAAATTTTAATTAATTGTTTCAATAATAGTAGTAGTGTCATTAATTATTATATTGATTTGTAATGGAAACAATTTTTATTTAACATATTTTGTAATCTGTGCTATTTAGGAAAGAGAAAACAAACACAAATTCATTATAAAATTCTCATGTAAACTTTAAAAAGATATATTTTAAATCTATTATAATTCTAATCTAGTATAAGTCTAATCCATTATAAATCTAATCCATTTTAAGTTAATCTTTTTCTCAAATACTTTTTTAAAAGATTTGTAATGATAAACAATGAAAATTGTAAAACCAAATACTAAAAAAAAAAAATTATGTAAAAGTTGTAGTATTATTATCATTATTATATATAAAAAAAAGAATTTTATTTTCAAATAATAATAATAATAAACGTACATATTGACATTAATATCGATACTAAAAGAGAGAGAGAAAAAAAATTTAAATAATGTTACATTAAGGAAATGATAATAATATTCAACTTTATTTTATGAACAAGTTTAATAATAATAATAATAATCGTTAAAAAACAATCATTATGTGAGATTTCAACAACTTGAAGTAATATAATAAAATAATAATAATAATAATAATAATAATATATTTAACTCGAACGATTCGAGAAAAAAAAGAAAAAGTGAAATCTCTCTCTCTATCTCTCTCTTTCTATCTTATTACGTTAATAATTAATATGTTTTATGGATCGAATATTATCATTAATATTAACGTTTTAATTTTATACAATTTTTTTAATAAATGTTTGCCGTATGTAATAATAATAATAATAATAGAATTTGGAATATGCGCTTAAATATGTTTAAAATCAATAAAATCCAGGGTTTTGAAACGAAATCGTTTATGTCACAAATAATTTTTTTTAAATACAAAACGCGTTTGATATATTAATGTGACGATTGATGACAAAACAAAAAATTAAATATTAATAATAATAATATTAATAATAATAATAATAATATTTTACATATACGATAATGTTTAACGAATGTAAAAGAAATTTTTTTTTGTGCTGTTGAATTTGTTGTATTATTATTATTATTATATTTTAAATAATAATAGTTACTATTAATTAATTTAAAAAATTTTGTTTTTATTAACGTTATATTTTTTACTTTAAGTTTAATAATAATTTGTAAAATAATAATAATAATAATAATTAAAAGAACAATCGATAACACGATAAGGCAAGGACATATTCAGTTTTGATGATACAAGTTGTTCAGAAGTGGGAGAAATGGGAAAAAATCCCTTTACTACACATATTTACTTTTCTCAGTGAAAATTTTTTATTAAAATGTGTAAAAAAAATACAATAATAATTATCATTATGTGAATATCGATTATAATAATATAATAATAATAATAAAAAGAAAAGAAATGAGTTGTGATAATGATAATTTATTTATACGAAAAATGAAATATATTGATATTTCATAAATTTAAAAACAAAAAAAAAAAAAAGGATAATAATAATAATAATAATAATAATGGATATATCCAACAATGAAACGGATAATTTGTTTTTATTACCTGTTGCCTTAAATTTTCGTAACGGTGAGTAATATTTTTTAATTATATATATATATAATTTTTTCTAGAAGAAAATCTTATAATATTCGTATACGTTTCAGGTTCTGATTTATATTATAATAATAATAATCCGTTTGTATTTTATACTAACGCAAGTTCGACAAATTCATCATCGAACCACAACAACAACAGCAACAACAACAACACGACTCAATATTGGAATAATATAAACGTATTAACAAATGATTTACCCATACCTGAAAAATTTGGCGAAACCGTTAGAAAAGAACTCAAATGGGCTTTCACATTACACACATACGGTTTCGGTTGTATTTTTTTCATATTAGCATCCTATACATTTTTTTCCGTTTTAAATTTAAGGTACATTAATAATAATAATAATAATCAATTTCAAAACAAACAAACAAAATTATCGTTTGGAATTGTATTGTTTTCATTTCAGGTCTTTCATTTCCAGCAGACCTTTCATGTCAACAATAAATGGATTTTTATGTCTTCTTGGTACATCAAGAGCTGGATCATTACTCATTGATCCTTATAATTTAAAAGAGGTTCGTTTTCAAAAAGGATTAATTAAACGTCTTTTGTCTTTCTACTAACTTGATTATTATTATTAGATAATGCCAAAAATCATTGGACAAATAATGTGGGATTTAGGTTTTCCCAGTATCATATCAGCATTTTGTTTGGTACAATTAGCTTTTTTACAACTTACACAAATACAAATCGGACCGGAAGGATTAAGGCGGAAATCGTGTCTTTCATTAATCGTCACAGCTCATTTTATACTTACCATCGGAATGGATATCATTGTTGCTTCCCATGAAAATTTAATGGTATTATTATTATTATTATTAACCGTATCGACAGGTCGATGGAAAACCTAATCGTTTTTTTTTTTTTTTTTTTAGATAGTGAGATACGTTATACAATATATTTTTCTTACGTGGGGTGTTTTCCTTTGCTGTAATTTTTTATACAGCGGTTATAAAGTTATGTCAATGATAAGAAACATTCCAGGAGGTTTAAAACACAGAGATTTACCTGATCCAAGTTATAAAGGTATAATCGTAACGGTTGTAATTATTATAATTATTATTATTTTGTCATTTTGTATT